CTATCTACACTCTAAAAAATGCTGGGTTGTTTCAACCCAACTTCGGGTCAAATATGGACTAACCCAACTTTTGGGTTAAAAATTTAATGTAAAAATTTAACCCAACGGCTGGGTTAGTCCACATTTGACCCAAAGTTGGGTTGAAACAACCCAGCATTTTTTAGAGTGTACTATTGGCCTGAAAAGACTGAATTACTTAGGTCTAAATTAATTACAGATCGTTGTAGGAGATTATTAATCGCAGCAGCAGCAATAAAAAAACAACAACAACACAGCAGGTCTATTCTAATAATAATAATATAGTGCAACATTTTAATAAATTCCATGCATTTAAAAAATAATTGGTCATAAAGCCTAAGCTAAAGACTATCGGCAATAAAGTAAAGGATGCTTTTTCGCTACACAGAAAAAGGTTATAAAACTCCCGGACCTCCAAAGTAGCAGGAAGAAAAAAGGGAGCCGCGAGCTGAGGCCAGGAGGTTATGGATCAAACTCTTCTGCATACGAATGAATTACCAGCATCAGCTTGTGTATTTTCTCGGTCAAACTAGAAGACGTATGGCCTTACGCAGCACGGCAGTAAACACAGAGGCAGATTCTTGTTCTCGCGCTGCCCACTGGATTACAGATTACCAAAGCTAAAGAGAAAAGAGCGGGCGGCGTGGGTTAGTGAGTGGGATTTTAAAAATCCTTGCGTATGCGATTTTTTGACAATTTCAGCATTTTGGACATTTACGCAATTGTTTCCTTTTTTTCTTTCATTAAAACGATGACTAAGAGATTTCATTAATGGCGCGGAAACGGCTAGGTGAAAAGTAGATTAAATGTTCGGCAATTTTTGTAAAACATTCCAAATAGCATATAGAGCTGAAGTTACTGCGATTTAACTTCTTATATTAGATGTGTCTTGCAGTACAGTATGCATTAATCTGCAATTAATATGCATTAAACCGCCTAAAACTGTTACAAGACATTTCTCACTTTAGCTCCTGAGGGTTGATCCAACAGACTCCTTCATAATGACAAATTGCACCCCAGAAACGTGGAAAGGAAGAAATTATGGGTCTTCAGTTTTCATAATTGTGTGTGTATGAGTGCATAGCATGTGATAGTAAATAATATATATAGCAAGACATGGCAGTTGTGTAATGTAATAGAAAGCTCACCTTAAGCAAAACACGGTCTCTCGTAGGCTTAGTGATGGGGCACATTCATTTATTTGGAGATCTACGGCAAGAAATAAAAGTGTTATCATTTTTTGCCAGGAGAAATGTAGACAGTAGACAGTAATTAATGTCAATATCTTTTAACTGAACAATTCAATAAGTGAACTCTAAACTCTAAATAAAAATAAATAAGCACACTTCTGTATGTTTGTCACTCATTTATGTCTTTTTTATTTTAAATGTGCATTTAATTTAAAGTTACCACATCAAATACTTTGAATTTTCCTTTGGTTTTTATTACAAATGGGTTACACTATTTTCATTGTAAATCCATTGCACTCATTACAAATGGTTTGAACTCTAACTTGTATCTAACACCAGCACAGTGATAAACTGACATCAATAAAAAAAAATGTATTAAGCCTACTGAAAACGACATTGGTATAATGTATCCTTAGGCTTTGAACAAACGAACATTAACGAACAATAGACGAAAGCTCGACATCTTTAATACTCAACCCAGGCTTTAGAGGAATATCAGTATTAAAATCCTTTACTATACGACTCTTTGCTTCGCTAATGCAATTAATTGCACTACTAATAGATCTAAATGCATATAATAATTAATAGGTTGAGGAATCCTAACAATAACAGCACAAATAAATAAAATTAACGGATGTATTTTTACAGTTAAAAATACAAAATATTGGCTCATGTGTGAAAATAAGAATGTATCATCAGGAATATCATAAGGAATAAAACACTCTGGCAAATGTATCGAGTTCTCCTCCATTTTGTTTCCTTTCTAGAGAATTTAGATCGAATAGTCATTAGCTCTCAAGCAGCGGCCGCCCTAAGTCCCCCAGCCCATAAATCAAGACTGGAGCGTCGTGACCTCGCGCGGCAGCGTGCTTCTGGATGATCGCCTACTCCTTATATTATATCCTCGTTTCCCATGCGAGCCTCCGCAACAAACGGGCCGCCACTGCTCTGTTGAGTTTTATTTGCTGTCTTGTGATTTATTCTTTCTGGGAAAACCCAGTTTACACACCGTCTACAACCTAGATGGTTTACAGCCACACACAAGTGTTACCGATTTGAGACTACGTGCAATACAAAGACAATATCATTAATCATTCACACAGTTCAAAAAATGAAAATGTTTGGATAAACATAAATAGTCATATTTTCGTGAGAGAAAATGTTTTTGGGCTGTAGACACATTTTGAAAAGTTTGAAATGTTTTTAGAAAGCAGATGAAATTTACTCCATGAAGTCCATGACTTGCTCTGTATTATCCTGTACAATTACTTTGTTTAAAGACATTTTAATTGTATTTCTTACTTTTATTTACATTTATTTTACATTAAATTTTAATACAGACTAAAAAAAATACAGCATTTGTTCCTCGGGTTTTGCAGATCTATTCTAATTTATGACTTATCACAGAAAACATAAAAACTCAGTCTACATTTCTGTAATTTTGTAAAACAATATTAGATTTGCAAAGTGTTGCTTAAAGCAATGTAGCATTTAGGTAAATGGATGTAACAATTATTTTTTTATTTACGTGTTTAATGGTTGTTTCAGTGCTGTTAAGTGAAGAATAAAGTTGACTGACGAATATGCTCCAAGTTAAGTTTATTTTAATGATCTTAAATTCGACTCTCCCGTGTGTTCATCCGCCATTCTACGGTAACTGACCTTCTCTTTGAGCCGAAAAACTCACTATAGTAGTGAACAATCAGCGGAAATACCTCAAAATAAAATCCATCCTCATGGTTCGCCGGGCTTTCTGTCTTTTTCTGTGTAGAAAAACATATCTGTTCATGACAGCTGTATAACATTATCCGCAAAACGTACCAGAGTCTTTCTTTCTTTTTAATTTTTTCAATCCATATCTCTCCGGCTTTTCAGCAAGTCCACAATGACCCAACCCCACTTTAGTGAAGTAGGCTAGCGCTATCAGCACAGCAGCAGACCGGGGTTCGCATGCCATCCACCCCCTTCATCATAATATCGCAACCATATTATGCGCCCCACTCACGTGACCACGTGTCTATTAAAAAGGAAACCTTTTTTGAACTGTGAATCATTAATAGAGACTGCTGTTAGTCCCCTTTGAGGAGGATCACAAAGATGGAAGTAGTGTGTTCGAAATACTTCCTCGCAATTTAAAATTTCAGTCTTATTTTTGAGCCTTTTTTAACCAGAAAAAAATAGCACATCACAGATTAGTAGAACGTTGTATGTGGGAAAATATGATGTTTTGGGGGTATGGGGTGTCCCCCACATATACAAAAGCATGCCACAAGTATTTGGACCTCTTAATACTAATAGTCTTCTTGTGTGCCAGTGTTATAGGAAACAAATGCATTCGCAATAGAACAACAATACCTGGCGTTCTGATTTATTAAAATGATAATAATAAAAAAAAATAAAAAATCTGAATTTCCTTGATTTCCCCCTATCTAGCATTATCTCTTAGAAATATGCCATACAAATACTTGCTACCAACTATATATATCAAAATCTAATATATCACTGTTAATGAATACCTTTAAAGAACTCGTGTGTGCAAGGTGGCCCTCTCTCGGTGATTACGGTGTATCAGTCAAACAAGACTCAATGGAAGTTCTTGTTATCAGCGGACCTACCAAGCATATGATATTTTTGACCTTAGAATTTGCTCGTGTTAACACTGCAGTACTGAAAATTATGAATGTGCATATGAAGCCCGCATATGTAACATTGTATGTGTAGAAGGTACTATTTTAGACATCATAACCTTTCGTTACAAGAGTCACAGGAGCTGAAGCTACAGTTCTGACATATTTATAGAGCAGTGATCTATCAAGTCTACCTCAACAAACAAAAGAAAGAAGACCCGTCCCGAAAGGGGCCTTCTCTTTACCACCATTTGGTGCTTGTTTTCCGGCAGCAGAGTGTTTAGGCTGAAAGCTCATCCAACAGACGTGGTGAAGCCCTGTAGATAATTAATCACCTCAGCCAGGGACCGCTTCTCCCCCTTACACCAATGCTTTGTTCTCTCCAAAGCCACAATTTGAAGGAGTACAAACTTTTTTCAGATTTTAACATGAGATGGACTATGTTATTATTTTATTTCCATACGCATGCAAAGAACTCTTGGACAGAGGCCAGCGTTGCCCGCTTTTTGTGCCAAGGCGACGCATTATACATCTGCATTCTGACGTGTTACTGTGATGTGCTGTGTGCTTTATCAAGTGTGACTTATGAAAGTCAAATATTTAAAAGAGTAAACATGTTTAAAAAAAACTCTTTAGTCAGACTTGTTTGTGTTGTTTAGACCTTTTTGTTAGAGTATTCACCTGCCTGCTATAACTAGAAACAGCCCTGGGGTGTTGCGAGACGCAACGCGAACCCGCCTTGAGTCCCTAGGGTCTGTGTGTTTGCTTCTCATACATTTCAGCATGCATCCTAAACTTCCCACTGACCCGATCACAAAGTTCATTAAGAACGCTTTTACACAGTATTCGGGACCAGGACAGTGCATAACGGGTGCAAAGCTAATCCCCGTCTTTTTATGTAATTTTGATAACATCACTTATTTTTTATTTAATTAATTGTCATTACATTAGTGACTGCAGACCAGCATAAACGTATTTCAACCATTTAGTTTTTATTTCTTAACAAAGTGGTCTGCTGCTTTTCAAGAAGCCTACAGACAGGGCTGTATTTTCACTCTAAATGGTTCGTGGAGTTTCGCCGGGGGACAGAACACTTGAGTCCCTAGGGTCTGTGTGTTTGCTTCTCATACATTTCAGCATGCATCCTAAACTTCCCACTGACCCGATCACAAAGTTCATTAAGAACGCTTTTACACAGTATTCGGGACCAGGACAGTGCATAACGGGTGCAAAGCTAATCCCCGTCTTTTTATGTAATTTTGATAACATCACTTATTTTTTATTTAAGTAATTGTCATTACATTAGTGACTGCAGACCAGCATAAACGTATTTCAACCATTTAGTTTTTATTTCTTAACAAAGTGGTCTGCTGCTTTTCAAGAAGCCTACAGAATTCATTAACAGTGATATATTAGATTTTGATATATATAGTTGGTATTTTCACTCTAAATGGTTCGTGGAGTTTCGCCGGGGGACAGAACAAATCTGTTCTCCATGCTGACATTTGGAGCTCTTGAAGCAAGCTAAGATTACTACAACACGCAGACGAAGATCATTCTTTTCCTTGGATTTACCGTGATCATCATCAAAGCTAATAATGATGTAGGCTACAGCTCAACTAAGTTTGACGATGATGCCAGTGGAACGGCAATGATCTTTGGCTGTTTAACAGTTCTGCCCATGAGGTCGGATTACGTTTGTTGAATGTGAATGAAATAAAAATAGAAGTTAAAAATCTTATCTTTTTTGTAGCCTGTGTTTTGATAATGATAGAAACAGGTGACTGACATAGCCTACATAGTAAAGAGATTTAGTAGCTCATGAACATCTAGAACATATTATTGTTATTATTATTATTGTTTTTATCATTACTACTAGGCTACTACTTGTTATTTACAATTGCCTTACAATTGAGATTTTCAAGAGTCGAAAAGTAGCCTACATAACCACAGTACATACATCTAAAAGTAGGCTACAGTAATTCACTATATTTAACGTTTGTATATAAACTGACATTTACTGACACTTAAAAAATCTGAATTATTCAGAGAAAATTCCCTACTATTAAATTGTTGGATAGCGTAATGAGAAAACGGGTTCACATCAATACAAACAACATCCGTATATAACTTGTACTTTGAACATGTGCTATATAGTTTTCTATATCTAACATCCAAATTTTTAGATTTTAAAAAGCTTCTACTTACTCCAAACCCTCTTTTTGAAGAATGACCGGAAGAGTAGCAGCTGGTTAGAGTCTCGTTAAGTCGACGGTCAACTGCAAAATGAAAAATCCGACCGAACCTCCTGTATCTATTTCTAACCAAGAGGTATCTATTATTTAATATGGTCATGTGAGCCAGTCAATTAAAATTTAAGCATGGTAGATTGAGAGGTGAGGTGCTGGTGTCATGATGGAAGTTTAAATTTCCTGTCTGTCAAGATCTGAATCAATGATGACTGTGACTATCTTAGTGGCTGCAGTTTAAGTTTTTTCTCTCGAAATCTGAATATTTAAAAAACGGTCACCAAAACTGATTTCAAATTCCACAAAGTCGTAAACAGACCAGATACTCTTTAAGATCCCATGCTATTGTTGTCTCTGAGCAATGCTATTCTTGGTGAAAGTTAGTCTAAATGCACGCAAACAAAAATATTATTCCACTTTAGATTACTAAATTGGCATCCTTACATTATTATCGACCATTGATTTCTTCTACCTGTTTAAATAGTCAATTTCACAGCTGATGTTTTCTATAATAAATAATTTAGATACGTTTTGAAAAGAGTCAATGAAGTGCAAATAATTTAGCCGATTTGAACATTTAATTTATATTTTATGTGAAATTAGTCGTGTAAAGTAAGGTATGCATAAACAGAGTATGCATTTGGTCTCCCTCTAAATTTTAAAATAAAGGCCTTATTCAAGTTCCACTACTGCCCCATGCGTTCGAGGGATAAATAGACCATGGTCTGGAGGGTGCTGAATATGGCGAGGTCAGAGGTTAAGGGGTCGTACACAGTGCTTCAGTTTGATGATTGGACAGCTCGTTAGTGTCCTCTGCTTGACCCCAACAGTAGTTTACACTACTAAGTAGCCTACTGTCCGTCTCTAATTTATTTCAATAGACTTCTATTGGGGAAAGAGTTAATGGTATTTGTTATTTAAATAGCCTATATTTTGATTTTGGAAAGGTACTGCGCAAAAGAAATAGATACAGTTTAGATTACATTTACAATGGACGTAAATTCAACTAAGTATAGATTGTCCTGAGAAAACAAATAAAGGAGACTGGGTGGTGCAAACGAGGTCTGTTTGTACTGAAATTATTATAATTTCAAGAATGGCTCAAAGTGTTTAATATTAATGTATGTGATTTTGTCACAATAGCCTACAACAGTTTGGATATTTAGAAATAAATACTGCTGTATTTAAGTTAAATATGTAATATTTCAGCGAAATATCAGGCATTTTGTAACGCTGTATCGTAAAAAAAGGTCAGCTTAAAGGAACAATATATAACCGCTATATGCGCGTTTTAATTATTTTACCAAAAGGATAACCAAATGGAATAAATAAAAACGAAACGTCACAAGACTGAGGGCAATATAACTTGGTTTGTGAAGTGAACCGTTTTTTTTAGGCTATGTTAAAATACCTTAAAAAATCAAAGAAGCAAACCTAAACCATTGGCCTACATAGCTTTGGCAATTTACGTAATAAAAACTTCGGAGGCAAGCTTTTAGTCTAACCGCGACTATTTAAAGTTTTTGTTATTAGTTATCAATAGCCTATAGCTTACGTTGGAATAAAACAGTAACATGATTCTAACATGCTAAATTACACAGCCTACATTAGTCCTGTGGATTAAACTAAATAGATAATACACAATAAAGTCATTTTTATTATTTTCACGGGAAGCCTACAATTACTTGCATACAGGCTTACTAAAACAACTTGACATCATTCACCAATATACAAATAACCAAATACACGAATATTCACAGCTTTGATGACGTAAATACACTTAACAATACTCTAAAATATGGGACTAAGACAAATAAGATAACTACTCCAGGAAGATTGTTCCTATACTTGTGCCTTCAAGTTAAAATGTCAATTTGTACACACGTAACTAGCGCAGATCTTCACAAACTCGGTATGTCTCGGTTAAAGACAGAAAACGTAACGATCCATTGTCCAAGTTAAAGTACATTCTACTATTGTTCCTTTAAGAGAGAGAGAGAGAAACTATTTTACAGGAAGGATGTGATTTCCAGCTCAAATTAGAGTGGAGGAAGAGGTTGGGAAGGCGAGGTTAAGTTGCCTCATCGGACACTGAATAAAAAGTAACCCTGTGAAGTTCCGATCCTAATACTGCTATGTGTTCTTTTTTCTTGTTCAGTTCCGTCTGTGCCGATTTGCTTATAGTACTATAGGTTCGAGGAACAAGGCGTAGGAAGCAGTGTTTGCTGCTGCTGAGTGGCGTCCGTTTTCACGTGATGGTTGGAGGGCGCAGAGCTCGAGGAGCGGATCTTTGTATTAGGCAGCTTGTGGTCTTTCTTCCATTTCATGCGGCGGTTCTGAAACCAGATTTTCACCTGACGCTCAGAAAGACACATAGTGTGCGCTATCTCCACTCGTCGACGTCGAGTCAGATATCGGTTAAAGTGGAACTCTTTCTCAAGCTCAAGAGCCTGCTGGCGCGTGTAGGCGGTGCGAGACCTCTTGGGCACTCCTCCAGAGTAGCTGGCGGTCACTAAACACACAAACACATAACCAAGCAGGTGTTATTGACATTCTCAGGTATTGGTGAGATGTCGGATAATTAGTACACTTACTAAACATTTTGAAGAGTACTAAATGACTAGAGTATGAAACAATGGATATGCGTCGTTCTCCGACGACAGCATTCCATTCACACGCAGTAGCCTATTGATGTAACTAGTTTGGTAGCACTGCAAAATAGAAAATAACTAAATGAAAAGGCCTGTTTGGTGCTAACTTGGTAAGCGATAAACTTTCTTTTGAGTCATAAGACACAAACGCAAATGGGCAGGGTGGAACACGAGGGAAATAAAATTTGCGATAACTCGTAATCACAGGGACTTCATCTCGATGGCTGTAAATCCTCTAAATGAGCAATTACAACAGGGTATGTTCCCCACATGCCTTAAGACGAACGCCCTCCACAGGGCTCCTAGCTTTTATTGCCCGTGCACATTACTTACCGGTATTAACATGGACTTTTTTCATCCAGGGATACACCACCGGCTCTTTACCCTTCTGTGCGCCTGGGAGAGCCTCTGACACGAGGCTACAATCCTTGTTCGCAGTTGAACCAGCACAGCTCTCTGTGGTGAGGCGGGATCCATGATTCTGCGGAACGGATTGAGGTTGCGCGTGATGACGGTCGGTGAAATCGTTGAGGCCGTTGGTTGACACATTACCGTAATCATAGCTCGGCTCTTGGTAGTTTGATCGCGGGAATGATGCCTCCTCGTGATGGGGGAAGCCCGCGTCTTTCGGCCGCTCATAATAATCAGAGGACACGGGCATGTATCCATTCTGCTGATATTCCTCGCAGGGTGGGAAAGAAGGTTCGATGTAATTTGAATTGATCAAGTAGGAACTCATGATCATTAATTTGAAAAGTGCAACAATTCTAATTTTTATCGTGCTGTCGTTTTTCTGATCTCTCCAAAACCCACCTACTCCTCTGTCAAATGTACAAAGTTGGTCGGTCACGTGAGAAATGCGACCAATCAGCGCCTCCTGTGGGCATCGTGTAAACAAGCACCAATAGCAGGCCAGGCATCAGCACAGCAAAAATTTGTTCGAGCGGTCAATGCGTCTGTTTTTGTTATCGAATCAAAATATATCTGAAATTAATTCGATGTAGTTACCATATGCATCGCATGGAAAACGAAACAGCTGACTGAATGTACAAGATGTATGCTAAAATGCATTATATACAGTGAAAAACAATTGAGTGCAATAGAGAACGTAATTTATCACGAAAGCATCCCCTTCTAGTGTTAATGCCCTTTCTCATGATAAATGTACAAAATATCTCGTTTGTTTGTGTACCACGACCTGCAGTTTTGTACCCTTCGGGGACTTTAAAATTTCTATAGGTTCCTCAAAAGAACCTTCAAGAAGGCCCACGACCACTTTAACAAAAGCAACTATATCAGTATACTCAGTGACTGCACCTGTTAATGAATAGCACAAAGCCTACTTTCAAGCCAGCAACCGCATCAACCAATAATTTCACACGTCTTTTGTAACAAATGTAACAAACACAATGAACAGACTTAGTTTTGGGGGTTCCACCACTGGCATCTTCAAAGAAATATTAGGAAAGACCATCAGTTAGACGATTTGCTCGACATTAAAGTGACCCAAGCGTGTGTAGTCAAGAACAACGAGAGGATGCTACATGAGCCTTTTAGTTGCACACATTTGCATCTTTCGATTTGTATCTTTTGAATTATTATTATTACTGAATTAGTAAGAAAAATCTCACATATGCCTTCAGCAAAAGCAAAATACATAAATTGTAATGTCTAAGTGTCTAAATAAAGAAACGTGGCTTTCCTTATTGTCTCATAGAAGCTCCATAATGAAATGTGTTGGCTTTTACTTTTCATATTTTTTAACTGTCGAGTTAAACTGAACCGGACATCTTGTCACCTTTCATGTATTGCACAGTGGCTTAGATCCATTGTATTTCGTCTTCTACTCTAACAAGAGTAGACCAAAACCCAACTCAGAATTTGTATTCAGGACGTATTGAATTATCATATGTGGTCTGCAGGCAACCACTAATTGTTTATTGCAGTTGGCTTTTTTTTTTTTTAGTTTACTGCAATACATAGCACTGTTTATTCAATTATATCCGTATTGATATTGCTTAGATGGTAATGAAAATGATTTAGATCCATTATAATAAAGATCGCAATGTCATGTTTATGATCTTGAAATATCTCTATGAAACATCCATCTTAAAAACAATGTAAAGCCAATACACTTTTTCAACAATTTCTCGTTTTCTGGGAAATGCACAACACAGACAGACTCAATTCCATAACGTTACCATATTCCTTTTAGACTTGTTAAATAGCAGTGTTTATATAAACACTAAAATATAACTCAGAAGGCCTACCTTGTGTAAGTTCGTGAGCAAAATATTATCCCAGACCCTGAAGCTTATATGCCAGGACCAGATAAACCAAAATAATGACACATCGTTTGCGCGACAGGTAGTTCCCATGTAATGTTTCTTTATCCTTAACATTTCCATGTAGTGAATCAACAGCCAGCCTGAACTGAAAACTCCTGTATCCACGCGAGCTTCAAGTTAGTATTAAACTATGTGAGCCTCGTGCGGTTCCACAGCTTCAGAACCGCTCTGGCTACCTTTCTTTAATAGTTACACAGAGATAACTTCAGTTTGACCTCTCAGTGACTCAATGTCCATTTCGCCTCTTATTAATCTTGTTCACTGACAGTCTTTGTTAAACAACAAGGCGTGCCCTCTGAAAAGGTGACATTTTCATATTTGTTAGACGCAGTGACCTTGCGTTTACCCCGGCCTTGGACTTCGTTTATCCCATCAGGGAACAGGGTCCTTCTGGAGGTCGGCACTCGGCCTAGGCTATATATATATATATATTTACATTTTCATTTAGTCATTTAGCAGACGCTTTTATCCAAAGCGACTTACAAATGAGGACAATATATATTATATATATAGAAGGTATAAGGTATGACAAATTCATTATTCATTTTTTTTATAACAACATATTTATTACTGCTACTACTAGTACCACCACCACTACTAATAATAATATCTATAATTAGAATGTTGTTTAATTATTGGATTTAACTTATCGATAAATTAAAATTGCTGTCTTTTAACCGTACGGGTTTAAAACAAGCCAAGGCTTTAGTTTTCTGAGGCCCATAAAAAAAGTATACCATGTTGTCTGTTATTTATTATATAGGCCTACTTCTCTCTCCTTTGTGTACAAAACTGGAGGGCTAAAATTAAACACGCTGCAATATTTACATATTTAAGACAAGTAAAACTAACAATTAATCAAAGGATCAGATGAAAGAAAACTCTGATTATATATATATTTAAAACTCGCATCTAAAAGTCTTCTTCATCTTACATCGATGGTGCTAGGTGCACCGGTGCTAGCTGTCACATTTTTATTCCACGTATATTACTCAGGATATTGAAAGTCATTTGAATGAGAGAAAATGAGAATGAGACACTGCCAATAAATTGGCTATAAAGAGCCTTAAACATTAAACCAAATGTTAAATGCAACACGAACAATGTAAAAGGTAACATAGGCTACATTTCGCCAGCAGATTGTATAAAATCAATCTGATTACACAATTTAAAACATACGGGTCAACCTGCACCACCGACCTGTTTTTTTTAAATACCCTTGTTATGAAAACCTGCTTTTACTAAATAACTTGCTTAAGTTTAATTTAACCTAGTGTAGTCTTATTGTGTTAAACTGACCCAACTGCTTTTACAAAATACAATGATATTTCACTTTAATTTGAGGATGTAATTTTAAGATAAATATTCCAGTTTACTGTTCAACTGCTTTTGGCTGAAACCAACATATAAAATCAAAATCATTTCAAAACGCAAGCATTTCTGTAATTGGACTTTTGACTCAAAATCTTATAATTACAGAGATAGCCTACAGCAGTTGTGTTTCCCAGTATAAGATCTCCGGTCTCTTATGAAAAGCAATACGGCCATATTAAGCCATCGCGTTTTCTGTAAACCCGTGAATTAAACGAATATGCAACATTGGAGAAAATTTTTCGAAATGACTTACATTGAACAAATTTTGTCGACACAAATGTGTGACATTCAGATCTTTTTATAATTGCATTTGTTGTCTAACTTTTCTGTATTGCAAAATTATGATTTTTTTTCGGAAAAGCAGATATTTTTACAAAATGTAGGCCTATGCATTCTTTAAAATTTGAGGCCTGTATTCACAAAAAAATAAAATAAATAAATAAATAAAATAGAGAGAATTTATATATATTCGATGATTCTTCGCTTGTCTAAAACGAGATTTGTCCAAAAGTTGATGAGTAGGCTATTACATACAATTATTTGTAAGACAATTTCAAATCATTTTACTACAAACCGTCTCAATAACGTCTCGGCTTCGTTTAGTCCTGATTTACCGGTAAATAAGGCTAACAGCATATTCTCCTTTTATTGTTTTTTTCTTTTCTGTTGTCTTTTATTTTCTTCTGTTAAAATTAACGAATGTTTAGTTTTCAAGATGCTACAACATGAAAAAACTACTCTTCAGAACTATGCAAACAAAGAAATGTTCATTGCGGAAATATTATCAATCCTAAATGCAAATGTCCTGTCGAACTTATGGTCATCAAATGGGATTTATTCAAAGGAAATTCACCAATCAAACCCCTTAATAAAACCTGAATACTCAATCTCTGGCACAGGCGGAGGAGGTAGTCTCTTGGGGATGCTAACCCAGGGTCACCCAGCTTGCAGAGTTCATCGCGAGGTTAGACCTGAACTCACGGGATTCACAGCTATTCCATCTTTTGTGCCATTATAAAAGTGGCACTGTGCTCTACAAGAACAGATGACAGCTACTTGTTCTGTTGTAAACTTTTGACCCCGGCCCTCCCCCTACCTTTACGATATAAAACTCTCTCTCAGACAAACAAGCACAAATAAACAGATGGACACAAACAAGCCTTCGAGCTCATCAACTTTCTTTCTCCATTTTTCTCTCTTTTATTCTTTTCTAAGCTATTGTTTTCCCCATACATCTTTAATAACTGCCATTTATCATGACCACTAATATTAGGCCAAAACTATTAATATGTTATCAAACAACCTTTATATCTCCAGACAGCTTGGCCTGCTGTAGCCATCAATTTCGTTCTGCTGATATCCAAGCTGCACCCAGATTTGTAAACCATTTCTATTCTACCGAGAGTCCATGCAATTAAAGGTGTATGCGGGAGTTATTATTCTTTTTCTTTCTGTCTTTTCTATCCTTATAGGGAGAAGGGGCGCAAATGCGGGTGACACTGAACTTGGCCAAAAGCGAGCTCTGCTGGTGGTTTACGGCGTGTGCACATTCATCTTCCTGCCGCCGCTGACCTCACGGTGAACCAGGAGCGAAGACAGTTTTCTTCAGTCCCTCTCTCTCCTTCATTGTCTATCGAATTCTGTCTATCTCCCACTCGCTCTCACACTTCACTTTAAGTATGCAGATGTTATATGCGCATTTCCTCAAATAAGGCAAGCAAAAACATCTTTGTGTTCTGCATTAACGTTTTTATTTTTCCTTATACTATACGTTTTGTGTGCCTCAAAGATTAAATAAAACAGCGTTGTTGGTTGCGATAACTACAGTGTTGCTGAGCAGTAGTGGTGCTTGAAGATGATTATGATTAATAATTACTCAGTTTTATCAGATTTCCAGTCACAAAATAGCCAGTTGGTCAAAATGTGCAGAAATATTAACAAATTATCTATATTGATGGTATAAAATAATCTTTTTAACAGAGGGAATACATTTTTGCATATGGAATTAGATAGATAGATAGATAGATACTTCCTATCCTCTCTCTCAAAACTTTGAGGTAATTCTGGCTTGGGGTCGGATTTGTGCATCAACGTCTACCAAAAAGTCCTGTGAAGGGTGTGGTTGATACTAGGAAAAACTGACAAAAATCATCAAAAACATCTTTAAAAATCATTATTCAATGCATAGACACAAAGGGCAGAGAACGTTACTGTATAGGAAGGAAGCAATTACAGTCAGAGCGCAATGCCCCCTACCACCCATCTGCCGGACAAGCAGGTCTTCACAGTACAAACCCCAATTAACGCAGTTGGAACTTGAATGCGTTTATGTTCTGCTCATTGTTTCACTGAGGGCCTAAAGAAAATGTTGTCTCTCAACAGCAGCGAAAACCCGAAACAAACAAACTCGAACTTACCAAGAGCTGACCCTCGCCCACCCGAGTGAATCCGGTCGACGTGTTTCCAGTCCATAGCAATCTGGTTTGTCAGAAACAGTTGTGGATGCAGTCAAGGAACACCTCTACGGTCTGCGGAGAAAGAGAACGAAGCTCCACGTCAGTGCGATTAAACTTTATATGCGATAGTGTCGACTCCCCAAAACCATAAAACTGACTTTAATTGCCACCACGTGACTGTTTTATGGCCAGTGAGCCTATCTGCCGTCTCACTCCGAGTGAATTTTACGATCTAATTCGTGGACCAAACCTCATTATTTATCTTACCCGCCAATGTCACGGATCCAGAATGGTAAAGGGTCTAGTAAAGTTTGCCGCTCAAAACCCTGTCCAGATTTCCAAAGAAGAGAACACTTCTTGCGAGACACTGGGCGTGGACGCATGCACACTCATGTTGAGAAGTTGGCAAGGGGGACCATAAGTGCCCTTTCCACATCGGGTGAGTAAAGTAGTGATTATAGTGCGTCTCATAGGCCTACCTGTTGAACCACTCAAACAACCTTTTACAGAAATGAGGAAATTGTTATAAATATCTAGATTCTAAACAGTGTCTTAGATAACATTTTATCCAAGTTTCCCAAAGTAGAATAGCCTATGGTATTTTGAAGTTTTATGTATATACTCACCCTCACATAAATAATCAAACAATTATGTGGTATATGACTTTTACGTCTGTTACTTACACAACAAACACCTGACAAATCACCGAGATCTCATTTTTAAAGTAAAAACTTTATTATGAACACTGCATTTGACAACACTGTTTTCTGCACTTCCAGTTGGCATTCAAATTTCACGAGAAGGAAAATAAATAATTAGCGTTTCCCCCAACATTTCAAAACGTACACCACTCAAACATACTCAAGTAGAAAAATGAGGACATGACAAATATGCGGACACGTCTGAACGGAACGATTTTATACACAAAGATGACAGTACAACACGAACAAAACAGGTCTTCAACTTCACAACAAATAAAATACAATCGATATTTGATATCGAATTGAAATAAATACATAAAATACAACAATTCATATTTACAAACCAAAAGACATAAAAACCAACAACAAAAACATTTTAAGTTATGCTTCATTTAGTAAGACTCAAATACTTTTACAGGTTGGCTTACCTAATGCACCTTCCAGAAACTTTTTTAGAAGCATTTTCGTCAATACGTGTTATATTAATTTACACCTTCATGTGGCTTTTCTAAGACAATGCATAGATCTTTCCACATACGCAACATTACATGAAAACACAGAGAGGAAGTGTTTGTTTCATTTTTTTCTGACCAAGGACGCAACGTAGGGCGTTCACTCTCTCAAGACCAGTGGAAAGTTCTTTTGTAAAATGGGCAAAGTCTTCATCCCCTTGTCGAACACACATTTAGAATAAGGAATCAGACGCGCACCCACACCTATTCAAACACTTACAGATTTAATTTATATATGCACGTATACAATATATACACATTTTCACGGCCGGTATCCGCTTCCTGCAGCCGCCATATTCATACTCTTCAACTTGTTGTCCTTTTTCCATTTCATTCTCCGGTTTTGAAACCATATTTTGATTTGTCTCTCTGAGAGACAGAGCGTGTGTGCAATCTCAATTCGTCGGCGACGTGTCAGGTACCGGTTGAAGTGGAACTCCTTCTCAAGCTCAAGTGTCTGGTAGCGTGTGTAGGCTGTCCTGGGCCTTTTCCCCTCCGGTCCGGCCAAACTGTCTGTTATACACAAAAGTGTGACATTGACATTTTTAGAATTTTAATGTACTATAATACATATGTAATGCACGACACAAAACATGGCTGAACGGATATGCATCAACCTCAAAGCATGCGTGACATTCTCAGGGACAGAAAGCATAACATTTAATTCGGGTGATTTCCTCAAATGATCTCAAATGAAATCAGTTTAATTTTATGAATTTAATAGCACGGACAATTCATTACTGGATAGTCGACAAGACAATTAATAATATAGTTAGGTCCTTTCATTTTTATAAAAGAAAGTCCATTTAAAATTTTTTACGAGACATGGAGTCTGTAAAATAGGACAGCATGCTGGCTGAGACATATTTCGATGTAACAGTCCAAAACCAAAGTAAACTAACTGTATTTGCATTACTTCCCCAGCTGATTTTGTGTAAAATTTGACAGGAGGTCATTCACACCCAAACTACAACACTCAGAACACAAACAGAAAAAGCAGAACTCAATGTTTGCAGTTTACCATGACTTATATGAAGTTTTCGCATCCATGGATAAATCTGCGGTGACTCGGATGCATTCTGTGCAGCTGCCTGCGCACTTCCCGGTGGCTTTTCTTCCTCCATAATGCTGGACGCGTTAGAGACGTCCTCCCGACTGAGAACCGTCCCGACGCTGTTGGTCGTAGAGCCAGCGGTGCTCGGTAGTGAGGTTTTCAGAGCGCGGTGTGACTGCTCGCTGACAGGAGAGTTGGCTAAGGATGAGCACGGGAGAGGGTCAGAGGAAGGCTCAGCGCTGGTCGTGGTAACCGGTTGATTGTACCGGACAGGCGTCGCAGTTGGACTGTCTGTGTAGCTTTGAGTTCGCTCACCAGATGAGAGAAAGTGTCCGGTGGTAGAGCGTCCGGTGCTGAGATCCATTCCATTGTAGCCAAAAGCATACCTGCCCGAATGCATGCCCGTAGAATCTCTGCATTGGCCACTAGAGCTGTGATCTCCATAGTTATGTAAGGGATAGTCCGCGCCATTTGGATAGCGACTGCAAAATGAGTTCACAAAATAAGAGCTCATTGGTTGACAATTAGCCTACCTTATAATTATTTTTAGTTACTACAACTACCTTTATGGAGAGAACAATTCTGCCGTGTGTGTTTGATTTGTGTCTCTTGATGGTTTTGAGCTTCTATTGCACCCTTGCACAATTTATGATGAATTATGGAAATGAGTGAGACACAGACTTAATGCTCCCTTACGTAGACTCCCAAATATGGGGTACGTCTTAGAGTCACGTGTTTTTGTTGACCAGTAGTAAATCCTATTCTGTGACCTCCAGCGGTAAATTCACGCGTAAGCAGGAAATCAGGGTGGAATTGTTTGGACACGGGAGCGCGCAACAAGAGTTTCACCGAACTAGCTGTTGTGTGCTCTGCAAGATCGTAGCGGCGCGCCACCCTCTGGTTAGAGGCGGGACTACCTAAACCATTAGACTTGAGGCGAGCACGCGATGGGTTCATTCAGAGGGTAATGGCTCTACTGTAGAAAAATTGTATCTGCTGAAACAAAGCCCCGTGACCTGCACACAAAACACGCGCACCAGAATGTCTAATTGATTTAGTAGATTCAAAAACACACGCAACTATAGGTTTGAAATAATCGTCAACAAGAACACAACATCAATTAAAAAAAAAAAGATCTGATTCTCGAGTATTGCATGCCCACTTAAAATACGCCTCACAATTCCTCATAATTTCATAATTCCATATTTGGTATAAAAACAGGAAATTTGTTTTAGTTAATTATGATTTAGTTCGATCAATTCTAAATATTTATGTCTTCAAAAAGAAACAATTCAGGAGACGCTGTACAACACAAAAGACTTGGCCTATCTTTTCGAACATATTGGACTTAAGTTCATTTAGTTGTCAATTAGGCTACTGTTTTTAAGAGCATAAAAGAAAAATGTCTCTGAATACTAAAACAATATAGAAAGGTTATATATTTCACACAGTCCACTGTGTTTTGCCCGTTTCCTTGACGAACTGAGGTACAAGCAGGAAAAAAAACATCAGCATCTTATGATTATGAAAAGAGCTAAGCGGTGACAAAGAAGTAGCTGGTCCTTGGTCAAACACATTTGAATGGAAACGCTTTTTATAACAGACATTGTAACTTATGCAATATGCAGAAACGTTCATTCATTAACGAGAACCTAAATTAACGAGTACACTGTGCTATAAAGTGCACTGTTAAAATTCAGCTTTATAACGATTTGTCTACTCCGCATAATAAAACTTTATTTAGGTCTACTTTGATAAACTAACAAACAGCTAGGCCTAATTGTAGTTGAAGTATATATTTATAAAATAGTAGCCTACCAATATAACAAGAAATATTGCAAATACATTAATGAATATATAGCCTGAATAAATTAGACTGTGCTAAAATATAATTCACTGCTATAGTCCTGGAGATATTAGCTATTTTCGGCCTTAGTTCAGAAACTTAAAACCCGACAGTTCCGATGTCGAACAGTCAACTTGACTGACCGCGCTCATCGTAAAATGCACAAACGCACAAAGACAGTTGGAGAGCGTGACAGCGTGATTTGTTAAAGAAAAGCCCATTATCTAGAAAACAGAAATTGTTGTTTTTAACTGAACTGCGGATTTAAGATACAGAGATCCTTTCTTGCCTCTCTAGAGATGCAGCTATAGGCTAGTGAAATATGGTGCAAAAACGTTAAATCAATTATTCAGAACGAGTGAAACAGTCTACACAAACAACGCATTCAATTATATATATAAAAAAAATTATAACGGAAAACTAAACACTTCACATTTTCAGAATTTCAGCATGCAAGTGACATTGGCAAAACCAAGAGCTCTACACATTCTGGTACTGCAGATGTTTCAAACAACCTGACAAGACCATTTTCTGTATAATGTCAGTTGTCAATTAGGCTACTGTTTTTAAGAGCATAAAAGAAAAATGTCTCTGAATACTAAAACAATATAGAAAGGTTATATATTTCACACAGTCCACTGTGTTTTGCCCGTTTCCTTGACGAACTGAGGTACAAGCAGGAAAAAAAACATCAGCATCTTATGATTATGAAAAGAGCTAAGCGGTGACAAAGAAGTAGCTGGTCCTTGGTCAAACACATTTGAATGGAAACGCTTTTTATAACAGACATTGTAACTTATGCAATATGCAGAAACGTTCATTCATTAACGAGAACCTAAATTAACGAGTACACTGTGCTATAAAGTGCACTGTTAAAATTCAGCTTTATAACGATTTGTCTACTCCGCATAATAAAACTTTATTTAGGTCTACTTTGATAAACTAACAAACAGCTAGGCCTAATTGTAGTTGAAGTATATATTTATAAAATAGTAGCCTACCAATATAACAAGAAATATTGCAAATACATTAATGAATATATAGCCTGAATAAATTAGACTGTGCTAAAATATAATTCACTGCTATAGTCCTGGAGATATTAGCTATTCTCGGCCTTAGTTCAGAAACTTAAAACCCGACAGCTCCGATGTCGAACAGTCAACTTGACTGACCGCGCTCATCGTAAAATGCACAAACGCACAAAGACAGTTGGAGAGCGTGACAGCGTGATTTGTTAAAGAAAAGCCCATTATCTAGAAAACAGAAATTGTTGTTTTTAACTGAACTGCGGATTTAAGATACAGAGATCCTTTCTTGCCTCTCTAGAGATGCAGCTATAGGCTAGTGAAATATGGTGCAAAAACGTTAAATCAATTATTCAGAACGAGTGAAACAGTCTACACAAACAACGCATTCAATTATATATATAAAAAAAATTATAACGGAAAACTAAACACTTCACATTTTCAGAATTTCAGCATGCAAGTGACATTGGCAAAACCAAGAGCTCTACACATTCTGGTACTGCAGATGTTTCAAACAACCTGACAAGACCATTTTCTGTATAATGTCATTGCTATGAAAAAAAAATGATCCGGAATCTGTAGGATCTGGAATGATTCCTTTCCATTTCACTTCACATTCCAGCATCTGTTACATTTATAGGATAGCTTGAACAAACGAACCTGCTTATGCAGTCAGCAAAGTGGTAGGTCACCACCTAGTGGTGGTTTTGATGTACCACCATTTACCTCGTCGTTCACGGAAGATCTACATAATTATGCCAAGCTGTTATATTGTCCTCTTTTGTATTTATAGATTTTATTTAGGCTATAAATTAAAATTCCTATAGGACCTCTTTCCCTGATAACGATTGACGTTAGATCTTAAGAGCGTTCTAGAATATTTCTACGCTTTGCTTGCTGAAAAATAAGTTAGATGAAAATTTTAAATGTTGAATTTAATAAATGTAAACTCATATTGTAAAAACTACCGCATATTGTACATATATAGCCTATATAGGCTAGTCTGTAATAAGTTTAGGTGTAATTTTGCAGTTGCCCTGCAGGTGACTGCATATAGTCTGTCTCTTTGTGCTTAGCACTCGTACGATGATTTTCAAGCTTTAATATATGAAGCTGAGGGAAAAGATTATTTGAAGCAGCGTTTCAATTAGGCTATCTACATAACCTACACCCGAATTACAAATAGACCTATTATTATTAGGCAATAGACCTATTATTATTATTGCTCGAAACATCAAACTTTTATGAAACACGGACCACAGGACACCACACCACAGCTCTTGCCTTAACGCAAGTGTGATGCACTGAATACTTAGGATAATATCATCAAATTCAACAAACTGTTAGGCTATATCGACATACTGAATTGCACAACCTTCTCACAGAGGCATACTTCTTCAAATACAAATACCCTACTGTTTTGCTAATGCAAAAAAAAAAGAAATAAAGTTCCAAATAGGAATAGGCTATAAGTTTTATTAATCAGCCTTCTTTAATTAAGTTGCTTTTGTCAAGACATGACCAATATTTGAAACGTTTAGATACATACTCTAGTCATAAGACATACCTTTTTTAAGGCACAACAGTAGACATAGCCTTGTGGATAATAAATAACAAGACAGCAGCATCAACACAAACGACGGCGACCTCTCCATCCAGAACAACAAACAAACAAACCTCTTTTTTAATTAAAAAATGTGTGCAGTATTACATGACATCAGAGATGTTCGATAGTAGCCCATTCAAAACAAACCGATTCCTTACCATTCAGTGTGTCTGTTGCTCGACGAAAGCAAGAAACAGAGGTCGGTGACGAAAAATACTTCACAGCTCTTCGGAATGCTTCTTTATCATCATCTTATAGTGTGCCAAACAGGATGAGCAGTTCTCTCTTTACCGTCAGCCAATGCAATGCCAAATTCGATGGTAGCGAATGTAGAATATTACCTAAAATTCAAAGACAATAAATTAACAACCGACGAAATTTTGGAAAGGCGGAGGTAAAAGAAGGCTAGACAAAGCAAGGTCAGGAGAAGAATGCAGCTCTATTTTGGGTAGGGATGCATAGCCTACACATAAAAAGTTAACGTTCATGTGGCCTTAAAACACGTGACCAACTGGTAGCCAATGGGAGCTAGCAGCAGCTCATAAAGTTGTACAGCAAAGTAGTAAATTTTCATAAACAACAACAGATTTATAGCTTCTCTAGGGAAGAGGACGGAGGTGGGGGCTGGTAAAGCAATGTTTGCAGCCGGCGCCATTTTACAAAGGAGGAACTCACTGAAAAAGTAACTATAGATTTATCCGCATTACATTGAAATAACATTAGGCTATTAACATCAGTTGTTGAATATTTAGTATACTGCTAATAATTTAACCGCATAAACACCGATTTAAATAAATAGCCTATTGCTTAAATATAGTTGATAATAATAACAGGCTAATAATAAAAGTCTCCAAATATTGTGGAGGACAATTTATACTCGCCTTCAAAAAAAGTCAAGTCTAAGTCAACTAAGATATATAGGACTACAAGAGAGAAAGATTTTGTATTATTTAGTTGTAAAGCTGTCATTATACGACCAATGTTCTTTGTGTCCACATTACCACTGTGGGTGTTAAGTTTATATGTTCCCAGAATTTAGAAACTTCGTACTGATGTTAATGAAGCAATAAAGACAATGTTGCCATTTGAATTATGTGACTACGTGCTCACATTATAACATCTAAATAGTCTATGCACAAATATACATACAAGTTTTCACATTTGTTGTCCCCTCCTGAGTCTATATGGCTCTGTGACATATAGGCTACAGTTTACAGCAGGCCTACCGTTGATGTCATATTGGCTTGTCACCTCGTCAATACTGACTTATAGCCTAGTCTAAAGGTATTTATGCATTTCTTTATAAACTACACGATTGCTTCTAGGAGAGACATGATGTGACGTTGTATTAATTAGGGCGACGTTACCGCTCATCATGACTAGTTAAAATCATTCTTAGTTTTGTATTAATTAATTTATTATATTACATTATGAAAGTTTATATGACTGTGAGCTAGAAGATCTTGGTCAGCAGTTACAAGAAACAGAATCCATGGTTTCTTTAACAGGGTAGGTTATAAATCTTGGGAGCGGACACAACGAGAGAAATAAATTATGCAACCAGATACGCATAGGAGATCCTCTAAATTAAGACACACAGAGTAATTAATTTATTACTACAGAGCCGAGACATTAAAACGTTTACGACTTAACATGCATGAACAGCTGCATCAGTGGTTTAATGGATGCAGTTGTAGGACACGTCTCTGTATAGCCTCTGACACTAGATACACAACAAGCTGTTTCAAATAAACGTGAAAGTCATACCTTAATTTCCATTTGAAGACACACAATCGGGAGGTTTTGTCCGTTCATGCTTGCTATATGCATTTGGGGCGTCCAAGTCCCAAGATGTCCAAGTCCTTTCTGAATCCCCGATGATCCGCATCTTGACCGCGTCACGTGTAAGCACTATTTTAGAAACAGTCATTTCCTCCTGTAGTATAGTCAGACGACACATTGTACTTAAAGCAACATTTTTTGGCCAGTGCTGAAGAGGAGTGAGTGAGTGCTCGCTGCATATGACTATAAGACATTCCAGTTTAAGTCTAATTCATACTTTTTCATCCTGCTGAGTTGAGCAGGAATCCTTGGTGTCGTTTTTACGAGCAGTGATACACAATCCCATTATAGCCGGAGTTCATATTAAATCCCACTTCTCTGGCATTGGGCCCATGAAGTCACATGATCACTCCGCAAGCACTAGACATCCAATAAGTATTGCTTTTTCTTTTTTATCAGCTTGTAAAAACAGTAGTTAATCTTAGGAATTAGTCCATGGACCGCTAATGATCACGATTATTATGAAAATGAGGCCTATTTCAAAATACATTATAGCCCCCCCACCCAAAAAAATCGCACACGTCAAAACAGTAATTTCCCAAAACTTATGAGAAGTAGTGTTTCAGAAGATATTTTAAGAAATGCATTGATTTGGCAAAAAAAAAGAAAAGAAAGATAATTTTTTAAAGCTAAATTATCTTACAAGATCAAGAGGTATATTGGATGGGTGGCAAAAGCTAGATTTCAATTACAATTTATATTAGTTAATTATTTGTTTTTATTATTTGAATTTTTTTTGAATAAAAACAAATAAAAATAACAAAAGAAAAAGAGGAAGAAAAACAAAGAATAAGGCCTACTGGACGTAAAACAAAATCGTATGTAAGGAACATTAGTAGCCTATATGTTAACTCTGCCACAAGAAACACGTTTCCGAATAAAACACAGGGTAGTCCAAATTACTGAAAGTAGGCCTACATTTATTTTAAATTTTAAGATATTTTAAAAATATACTCAAAAATATATTCGTGTTTTTTTGAGCCCGGTCTCATGAAAATGCGTATAAATAGTATATTGATGGATTTATTCAAACATAAATTAAACATTGAAGAACAGTCAAATTTAAAACTCGTGGTATTGATACGCAAAAATGGACTTTCGCGTACATATGATACGCATCTACCCCACAACCCTAAACCTACCCATCGCGTAGCATATACACGCCAAAGTCCATTTTTGCGTATCAATACCACGGGTTTTCGTTTTTATTTGGCGTACTATACGCACTTTCATGAGATCGGGTTGGTTTTTTTAAGCTTAAAGACAGATAAATCAGATGGTCTACGCTCTAAACACGCTGGGTCGAGTCTGTTAGGTTATTTTCACAGGACAGCACACAAGGTAAAGCTGTATATTTTTTTCGACGTCACTTTACCAACGTGAATATAGACAGGTTTTCATATAAGCCTATTAGCCTATTTTTCCCCCAGTCCGCGCTATACCAATACTAGTTGTATTTCCACATATTGTATTTGCCAGTGCAGTCTGCTCTTGTGCTTTTCCCCCCTCCTAAAACTTTGGGAGATTTTTATTTTTATTTTTTTTATTTGAATTAAATGTTATAATTATGTTATGGACTTTAAACTAATTTGTCTAATTGACTTATTACCAAATGAAGATTTCCATTACCAGTTAGAAAGTGTAATTTTGGGCAGGCATAATAGTCTGGGGTGTAATTATGGGTAGCCATAATTAAATCCACTATTAGTTTATTTACACATTTTCTATAATTCATTGCTGGGTTAGTTTAATCCCAGTTTATCCCAGGAATTTACTTTTATTTTACAGGTTATTTTTTTTTAAAACAGCGATTTACATCATAAAAGAATACATTGACATCTATCACTATATATATATATATA